AGGGCCTCAAGGACCAGCCACTTGTTATCAATGGAAACGAGGCAGTCATGGAAAAAGGAACAGGTTACTCATCGAGCGGCTCCTGACCACTTTCCAGCTCGGCCAGATACGCAAGACAGAAGAGCCAGGTGCATCGGGGCCCAGGAGCCAGGGGGAGACCTGCAGGGAGAACTCAGGTCACGGGGCTGGAGGCAAAGGGCTTCTGCCCTTAAGCAAAAAGCGAAGCAAACCATCTCAGGGGTAAGGGAAGTGGTAAGCTTTCACACCCAGCTGAGAAGAATACTCTAAAAATGCCAAAAATGGTGAGAACAGCACACAGCATAAGCAGTACGCTCACAAGGGGCCGTATGGCTGAGACAGAACTAAAACCAGCACTTCGGTGTACTGTTTTCTTTCACTTATTTGAAGTCGAATTTTCTCTTCTGTTATTACGCGATTGTTATTTATAATGATATATATGTGTCTAATTTACTTTAATTGATTTCTAACAGTGATTTTGGTAACACCTATCCACTATTTGAGCTGGGACATTGGTTATACATGCTACAAGGGTCTGATTATTAAGGGTAAACAATTCCAGAGGTCTGCACATGAGAAAGGATGTTAGCAGTAGGAACAGAGTTTCATTATAAATAAGTAAATAATTTTTTTAAATGAAACAATCTTTTTAAAATAGACCACATGGCACTTCTTACTGCTGCCTGAGGAACACCTCCATCAGAATCCCCTGCACTGCATCACAGGCCAGATCTGTGTATAAAATTGTCTGGGCAACTTGCTTTTAAACACCAGCGCTTGTACTTCTATCAGAATCTCTGACACAGGTATTCTGAGGACCACAGTTTGAGAAACACAGTAATAGGACAAATGCTTCAAAAATGCTTTGAAAACCTATGTTGGTGATGGTAAAAGGGTCACCATGTATTCTTGAACAGCTATACAAGTTTTGTAAAAATTATTTTCAGTGTACAAATAGATATAACTATTTCAAGGAATCATGAACTAAATCCTGTAGGATTGGTTTGACTAATATCTAATCATTTTGCTGTGGGAGACAGGATTTTCACTGAAAAAGGGAACATTTAATAAAAAAATGAGAATGAACTTCTAAAGAGGGAGGCATGGCTGCAGAGAAAAAGGAGACCACCAATCACTATCTCTGAAACACGCAACAGAGGGAGAAACTGGTCAGCGGGGCTGCCAAATGTTTCAGGATTCCATAGCCAGAAGGGCATAGAAGTTATCTTCAATATACCAAAATGACAGACAACACTGAAGGCTGGCTCCCCTGACTCAAGGGATCTAACGGAATGAAGCACACACCTGTGAGACACTGACCAGACAGCCTGTGCCTACCCACGAGCTTCACCGCCCACCTGCTGCCCCTAATCAAAGCCACTTTCCCAGGACTGGCCTCCATAGTGCAAGTTTCTCCTCCTCTTTTGATCCTATTTCATAGTAAGGACATGACAACACATCCTCATGTTTCTCATTTCAGAGGCAAGAGAAATACTTCCCAACTGCACGGTCAGGCCTCACTGAGGCATCTGCTGACTTGAATCAAGGCCCCGATACGAGCGGTCAGAGGTGCAACATCAACACTATCAGCGAGTCTGTACTGAGCCTGTACCGTGAAGATGCTCTAATTCAAGAGACGTGAAAACCAAAACCATGCCTAGTATTCAGAACATGACACAGTTAACACACAAGGTAACATGGACTGCTATGGAATCTCACAGAATGTGGATGAGCAAACGTACATCCTTGGGTTTCAGTTTATTCTCACGTTAAATGAAAAGGCCAGGTGAGACAATTTATCAGTTTCCTTCCAGCTCTGGAAGTATCTGATTTAATGAATCATGCACTTAAGGTCTCCTAAGGAAAACTCTAAGATAACGGTGAGTGGAAAATCTGAGTTTGGAGCAGCTGCTTAGTGACGGCCACAGAGCATGGTCTACAGATGACGCATGCACCCCATAACTTGGGTGCCTTTATCTCTTAGGTACAATCTCTGCACAGCTTTGAAATACTCTGCTCAGAACAAAAAGATCAGAGATCTAAAAATCTTTTGTGTGGTAAAGAATCTAAAAACAAAGAAGTATAGATTTTGCTTGTTAAATTTTAAGTGGAAGAGTGATTAGACGTAAAGACGAGGTCAGCAGGCGACCCTAATCTGGTGCGACTGGTGTCCTTAGAAGAAGAGCAGACACATGGGACGGGGCAGGGACTGCAGTGATGCATCTACAAGCCAAAGAACATCAAGGACTGTTACCAACACAGAAGCTAAGAAAAAGGCACAGGACAGAGAGCACAGCCCTGGGGACAACTTGATTTCTGATCCATGACCCTTAGAACTGGGAGAGAGTAAGTTTCCATTGTTTAAAGCCACCTAGTTTTTGGTAGTTTATTGGGGCAGCCCTAGGAACCTAACACAGGAGGCGTTCAGTGCCAGAGCCCAGAGAACCTGCTCCCTGGACCGCAGCAGTCAGGGCAGGTTCTGGGGCCCCAAACAGTATCACCCTCCTTATCCAGATCAGGACAGAGGCTGTGTGGTCTCGGGCCGGTGGCTTTCTGATCACAGAAGCTGCTCCCAACTCCCTTGGTGGCCTGGTATTAGGAAACTTCACTAGAAGCTCAGACTCCCTCCCAACCACCAAATACTACTTAATACAGTTAATAAATACCTCCCTACTTACAAGAGGGAGGGAAAATGATTAGAATAATTAGAACAGCGGGAGAAATGCCTGCTAAACGGTAACTCTCTGTCACCAGCTGATAATTTAAACACTCTAGGTCGTAAAACAGCAAAGTGATGTTGAAAACAATATGCCGTTCAACAACCAAAATATTTACCAAATGTAGAAAACTTTTTATTAAAACTTTAGTTTAGATGTATACTGAAAATGTTTAAAAAATGCCAGTGTTCACAGAATACCTCAGCTGCCACCATGCTATTCTAAATGTGTATTAATATCAAAGACTTAAAAATACAAAACAAAAGAAGTGAATTTGTAGGTTACCACAAGAAACTGAGAATAAAACATCGATTTCTTGCTATAAAACCAATCCATCAATAAGCATTCTTCTTGTATAATCCTTCGATTTACATGTCTTTGTTGAATAGCAAACCATGCCTAGAAATAAACTATTTGAAATAAGGAAATGCATTGGCCTAAAATAAATTCCCTACTGCCCAGTTCCGCACGGCTCTATGACAGCATGCAAACATACCACATAACTTCACTATAGGGTCCAGCAGTTAGATATAAAAAGCAATGGAAGATCTGCAACTCCTTGCACCCTGGAGGTACAATTCTTATCAACATCTCGGTCTATTCAGTTTTTCCAATCATGATACAATAGAAGACATGTGGCTTTGTCATGGTTACAACCACAACAAAAACTGTAAGAATCTGACAGGTGAATATTAGAATATGAGAAAAATACCTTACAATAAAAAAACAGAACTGGAAGCTTAATAGAAAGAAGATTCTAAATTTTTCCACTTTTGAATCAGTATTTAAGGAAGTTTTTCCAACTCTCATTTTTCTGTTGTCCAAAATATAACCCCCAAGCCTGCTGTGGCTTTTTCTATCTGAGGAACTAAGGATTACTGCCACCCCCCAAATTTAATAGGAACCTTAACTCCGGGTGGGAATCATTAAGTTATAAATACGGGAACTGCGGGGCAGAAGGGAGGAAGAATTAAGGCAGAGAAAATAGAAGTGGCAGCAGAGCTGGGCAGGAGCCCATCCACATAAAGCTGGGCCGAGAAAGGGTGGGCAGCGGGCCTGTCATCGCAAGAAACAGAGACGTGTTTCCCACACTGAGTGTCCTGAGGACAGAGAAACAGATGGAACGAAACTAGCACTTGCTGTGCCTGCGACCAAACTGCTGCAAAGTGTTTCCATTTACTCCTCAGAGCAGCGTGACCTGAGCTGAGAAAAGAATGGTCCGAACACACCAAGTAACTCAGCCGAGGCCGTGCGGTCGGAGAGAAGCCTGGGCCTTAGTCTTTTTACATCGTGGTAAGCACAGAAAACGCTGCGTGTGCAGCACGGTCACATAAAACAAAGAGGCTTCTGAGCTAGCTGGTGGCGACCAGCCTGGGAGCTCTGAAGCCCCAGGCCCCCCCGCGGGGTCAGTACCCCAAACCACCCAGAACCCACTGGGGCCGAGCGCTGGGAAGTCCTCCCGTGTAAGTCCAGGACTGCGGCATCTTCCGTTCCGTCCCCAACCCCCAACCCCCCACCCCACCCCGTCGCATTAACTACACCCAGGTCAGCCTACAGCTAAGTCTGCTAAAAGCCAGGGGAAGAGTCAGGTACCTCACGGGTACACCCCAGGCCACAAACGCCCTGACTGTAGCCTCTCCTTACAAATACAGGCCCCTTCTAGAATTTCTTTTACTGGGAAAAAAGTCTTATAAAAGACTCAGTCAATTTTTCTAAAAAGAAAATGAATCTGTGCACTCTCCAGCTCATGCCAGACACTCCCTCTAAAAGCAACAAAGGCAGTCATTCCAGCAGACCTCGAGCGAAAACGGCTAGTCAGAGAAACACCAGAACACATTCCGACCAGTGTCATCATTGTCAGTCAATCAGGCGAAGACAAACGTCTGACATCAGAGGCCATCTTGGTCTGGCGGCAAGAAGGAAGCCGGAAGAGAGGCACATGCGTTCCAGGTCCGGGTGGGTGTGGGACCCCCAAGGGTGAAGAATGATAGAAAACTCTGAAAAGGTGTAGAAATCTAAAAGAGGCTGATGTATTTGGCAGTGAATAACTAGACAGTATTCTGAGGAGACTGAGGAAAATCAAGAGATTGTCACAAGGATCAAAGGACCAGAAAAGGCTATATAAAACAAGGCTGCAGAAAGTCCATACGAACCCAAACATCAACCCCAGAATCATGTCTAGATTTCTGTTATTACCTTCTAGAGCAGGTCTGGGCCCAGCCTGACTATACAAATAAAGCTTTATTGGAACACAGCCACGCTCACCTGTTCAGAGACAGTCCATGGCCACAAGGGCAGTAGCTGTGACAGAGACCATGTGGCTCCCAAAGCCAGAAGTATTTATTCGCTGGACCTTTAGAGAGAAAGTCTGCAAACCCGTGTTCTATACAAAAGCAGCCTGTAATGAAAAAGTTGCCTTTAACGACTTACACTGATTATCAATAAAAGACCAACAACAAGATTTACAGAAATGTCTATTTCCATTAGGTAACAGAAAACATATATATTTCTAAAATTTGATAGAGCAATTAAATAAGTTCCATTCATTTATACACTATTCCAATTAACAGTGCCGACAGCTATTACAAAATAGATCGTTATATAGGCTTATTACATAAATAGTATGAAAGAGCTGTTATTTTAGCAAAGGTTAAAAAAAGCTATCCTGCTGAAAAAAAATTAAGGAATGCTTCACACCATCTCTCTGTCTTCTCATTCCCACTGCTCACTAAAAACCATGAAATACATTCTCTAAATGTTTTCTTTAGAACAAAAAAATAATACATAGGGATAATCAAACTATGAATCACCAAAAGAGGGCTCAGCAGTTTGGAAGTTTTGTAACACTAAGAATAAATGGCTCTACATTAGTTCTATGCAGTTCAAAAATTCTCACCAGCCATTATATCCTGCAAATAAATATATCTGATTACAATTATATAAATTCCCTATAAAAATGAGGGGACAAGGAATTAAACTGAAACATTCCAAAGTATGAAGAAATGCTTCATAAAACATCCTGCTATATAGTCATAGAAATGCTGATAAAATAACTGCTTATAAAGCAATTCAGCACGAACAGTAATCAAAAATGTCATTTCCAAAACACCCTCAACTATTATACTAAGTCTGCTGCCATGTTTTTTTTATATGTGATGTACTAACATACCTACCCACATACCTCTTGAGCAAGTATTTCACGGGACAAATATTTTAATTTGAATGAAAACAGGAATGTGGACAGAGTACTGCTTTGTGCAGCTGCAGCTACACTGCACATTTTTAAAATACTAAAGCCTATTTAAAAAAAAAAGGAAACAGAACCTGAAAGGAATTTTGGAACCTATTATCTAATTAAGCAACTTCTCTTCCAAAACTGCATTAAATAATCATTATTCTCTCCTCTCCAGATGCCCTGAATGGTGGCTACATTAGTAATACCATAAAGATACACATTAAAACATCAGCCAGGTGGTGGGAAAATAGCTGTGTTCTAGAAACACGGTAAAAGTCTCTAATGATATCTCAGCCCATATATATATATATATATATATATATGTGAAAAAAGAGAAATCTACATCCTAGTAAGTGCACAATAGTTGAGAAGAAAATACGTTTACGTGCCTGCAATAAATCGGAGCTCCGACTGCCAACTGCAACAACCAGAAAGTTGAAGGGAGAGGAGTAGGAGGTTAAATACTCCTGTCCACAAACTGTAACTGCATTGTGCTCATGAAAAACTACAATGCGAGTTTTCTTATTCGGGTATGCTCACACCGAGGCCTCCAATCTCCCTCCCACCACCATGCTGCCCTCATACCAGACGTGCTTTCCTCATTCTTAGAGTAAGTGCCGTCTTACTGGGCTGGGAAAGAGCCCTTGAGATTGTCCAGCCAGGACAATGAGTGAGTGGGAAAAAGAGTAGAGGGCCTGCAGATACGATCTAAATAAATAAACCTGAGCAGCAGTTCAGATTAGGAAATCAAAGTCATGACCTTTACTTTTTTCATTGAAAATAATTTTTTAACTGTGGAAAGATTCCCAAGTAACTTAAAAACGCTTAGCCATATGGATGCTGGCATTTCTTGGTTTTCATTCTCAGATAATCTCAGAATGAAACACGGGATCAGTCACACCAGCGGATGAGTCCAAGGTGCGGCTGGACCGGGAACCGAGACCTACGTGCACCTGGTCTCAGGAATCCGCCGCCCCTTCTCATTTTGTGTGTTTACCCCACAAGGCCCTCTCATATTACATGTTTTCCCCACAAGCCCCCCATTTCGCGTGTTTACCCCACAAACTCTCCTTGTATTACGTGTTGACCCCAAAAACCCCCATTTTGCATATTTACCCCCACAAGCCCCCCATATTACGTGTTTATCCTACAGTAAAGCTCCCCCTTATATTACGTGTTTACCCCATAAGCCCCCCTCATATTACGTGTTTACCCCCCAAGCTCTCCCCGTCCTCCGCGGACGCCCCCCCGGGGAGAACCACCGCGCCACCCCCCAACCCCCAGCCCGGCAGTAGGAGGAAGTGCCCGCCCCCCAGAGGGAGCCTCGCCGTCCTCGCCACCCATTGGCTGCTGAGGCCGTCAGTCCGCGGGGGGTGGGGCCTCCTGCGCGAGGGCGGGATCTTAGGCCCGCGCCTCCGGGAGGGTCCCGGGCTGCCCCAGACCCCGGGAAAGCAACCAGCCTCCAGTAGGGGTGACTTCGCCTTCTAATTTCGCCGCCCTCCTCTTGCCTTACCCTTTGTCTCCTCCGAGAGGCAAAGTTTTTCAAAGTTACAACATCTCTCCCCAACCCTTGCCAGCTCCCACGCAGGCCAGGGCCAAGCTGAGGATGCTGCGGTTTTAAGAGTGAAGCAAGCTGTGGACTGGATCCCCCCGAGGGTAGCAAAGGATTCCTTCCGCTGGAAATGAAATTGCTTACGTTTTACGTTAACTGTTCTAGGTGCACTGGTCTTAAGTGTTATAGCCAAGAAAATCTGGCGTCCATTCAACAAGAGTTGCCACAAAGCATTACAGAGTTAATTGCAGCTCTTGTTTAACTATTCATCGTTTTCGGTGTTGGTCCACTTGTCCCAAACGTACCATAACCTTTTCAGTCAAAGTACTAAGCTGACCACACCCGCAGCAGCTCGGGCTCCCGTTCAGAACAGACTGATTACACGCACATTCTGTACTTCATTCTGTAATGCAACTCGGCGAGACATACTACTGCAGGAAGCAGGGAGTCTGCATACTTCTTGAAACTACAGATTCCTTGGAGGAGGAATTAGAAACAGTGGTTCTAATTATGGTGGGGACACAGTGCTCTACAAACTATGGGCATTTGATTGTATCCGTTGCAACCTTAGGATCAGTAGCCTCGAAGGAGGAAAATCATTTCATTTCTGCAGTATGTTCCTGACTTTCAGTTCCATCACCAGAACTGCTCAAGGATGGGAGCGTATCTTAGAGTCAAGTAAGTATATTTTTAGTATCTATCCCTAACAAGGCCTACAGCTACGCGAGAACACCATTTGTCTGATACATCGTCTCCCAAGGCCTACAGTGTATAGGAAAGGGGTAACAGGTTCTTAGGATCTCACTGCAGCACCCTTCGTGGCTGTGTTCGCTCCCTGACATTGTCCTGGGGCCACATGGTCTTCTCATTTTTCTCCTTCTTCCTTTGCGCTCCCCTTCGTCACTCTGGCTTTGGCTTCCATGTTCAATTTCTTTATTTCTTTTCCATTGCCATTATCACCACTAATATTCGCTCTTGCCCAGCAATCCCTCTCTCTGACGTTTCTTAATCCTGACAGAGCCCCCAGAAAAGCTCCTTCTCCTTCTGCAACGGGTCGGTCATCCACCTCGCACGTCTCAAGCTCAGTCTGCGCGGCCCCACCACCCACTTCTGCCCAGAACTTGGCTCGGCTCAGTCCGGCTGCGGCCGAATCCTGACAGCTGGACCTGACCAATCCGCGAGCAATAAATAACCGACGCCGCCAATGAGGGCGCGCCTGGAAGCGGGAGGCGGGACTTCGCCAAGTTCCCCGGGTCCTGAAACCAAGACCTGTTGCGCCGCCGCCGCCGCGGTCGCGGAGTTTCTTAGTTACCGCGGCGGCCCCGGGCGCCAGAGCCGTGTGCGGCACGAGGCCCACGGCCGGACCGAAGGC